GAGGGGTCTAGGGAACTGGGAGATTGTTAGGGGGCTCTGCTGGCCCTCTCCAGACCACTGGATCAGGTCCAGTCCCTGCCTGGCTACTGGCATCACCTCCTTACGCCAGGACCTCTCCTGGCTGCAGAGGGAATGGATTAGGCTCTGCCAGCTCAGGGACAGCAGGGACCAGTGGTAGGGAGTTGGCATCTCTCACAAGAGCTAATCCTTCTCCCCAGTTGGGCAGGGCACTTGGAGATAGCCTGGGAGTGCAGAGGAGCTACCCCACAATCAGTGGCCATGTGCCTCTCTCCAAGAGCCTTGCCCCTGCTCTAGCTCCATTCTCCATCTTCCCCCTCCACATTTTTGGCTTTTGTGGTCTACAGCCTTCAGGAGCTGTGCTTTGGGGCAATGGCAGAGAGGACACAAGTTGGATCCCTTATTCAAAAGAACTACCTGTCTTCCCCAGTGTTTATCCATGATGCAGACGCCCAGAGCCATGGTCATGCAGCATGAAAGCAGCCCATTGTAGGGACACTGAGGTAGACTCCAGAGAAGGAGCTTGCTGAAGGTCAGAGCTAGGACTCTGACATCTCACAGAGAGATTCAGAATCCCCCAAGTGTAACTGCCTCAGCCTGGGATGTCTCTTGGGAGAGAGCAGGGGCGACACAAAGTTTCACAGGACCTACCTGAACTGAGGTCCCCTGATGTACAGCCCAGGGCTTGAGATGTGCCTCAGTGTTTCTAGTTCAAAGGGCTCAGCCTACGAAATGGGTCCCCACATCTCCCAGCACACAGACCCTGCATCTATGCAGCTCCCTTCCTGCAGGGCCCTCCTGCACCCATGCGTGTCCTCCCTGTCCCTGACATACCTGCACAAACACAGTAAGACATGTGCAAACAAACATGCTCTCACACAAGCACACGTGGGGACAGTGTCACTGGCACACACACGCTGACAATTTGCCCTGTATTCATAGATATGCATGAAGACAAGCAGGCCAACTTGTTTGCGCACCCACAAGGGGCTCACGCTCACTCTGGTGGGTGTGCACCAAGCTCACATGCACACATATGGTCGTGAACACGCATAGACATGTTACCTGCGCACGCACACACCTGCACACCGAGCTGCTTGCATGCACAGGTACCTTCACCCACACCCACCCAGCCCTGCTCACGCCCACCCATGTGTTCCATGGGCGGGCGCGTGGCCGGGAGTTCCCGGGAGCCCCGTGTGCCTCCCCTCTCCCCGCACTGCTGTGGGCAAGCCAGGAGGGAATTTCCAGCTGCAAAGCTGCAGCTGACAGATTTAGATGCTCCCGCCCCAGCACTTGCTGGGCCAAGTTAATGGTTCACCAGCACCCTGCTTCCCCTGCCCTTCCCGCTGGCTGCCTGTGGGCGGGCGAGGAAGGACCCGCTGGTGGGCATTACCAGCACCCCGCGGCAGCTCCCCTTGCCCTGCAGCGTGTGCAGCGCTGCGAGCCCCCCTCCTGCCCTGCCTGGCACTACCCAGTGCTCAGGGCATTGCCCACCTTGGCTGAGAGCCCCAGTGGCCCTTTTGCAGAGGGGTAGATGGGCAAAGCCCCTGTGCTCTGTGTTGCTACAGTGCAGAGAGCAGGCACAGGAGTGTGGATCTCTCTGCCCAGGCTCTGGCTCTGCTGACATCCCTCAGGGGCTCCTCAGCCCAGCGTGGCACTGCCAGCTGAGCGAGTGCTACACACACACGTTCCCCTCTGCAGTTACCTAAACCCCCACGCTGGGTAAGGCTGGAGAAACCAGTTCCCGCAGGCTCCTTGCAGCATGTGAGGGACCCCTTCAGAGATCCCCGGGGCCTCTGGAGCAGAGGGATGGCAGCCTGCCTTGCTGGGCAGCCAGGCAGGCTGCTCTTTGCCCTGTGTTTGCCCACGAGGGGCACGGGCTGATCAGGTTACCAAGACATGCCTGGCACCGTGCCGGCCAGGTGAGGCTGCACGTGGCTCACAGCATGCCAAGCGAATGCCTCGCATGCCACCAAGCCAACAGTGTCAGCGCCGTGTGGGGCTTCTCCATGCCAGGCCCTGCGGTGGGGATTGCAGCAATGGGCTGAAGACAGAGTGAAAAGAATAGAGGATACCTTCGAGAAACTGACAGCCCATCACCATGGTGTCAGGGCAGCTAGCCGCACCTCCTGCCTGAGGGGTGAACAGAGGAACTGTGGATGGCAGGTCACCGCAAACATCCCAGGCCAGGTGGTGGCAGGATACAAACTGGCATCCCTAAGCAATGGTGTCTGTGGATGGTGGGAGAAGAGCACCCACCCAGCCTGGGGGCTGCAGAGCGGTACAGGAGAGCGCTCGCCCTCATCCACACTCATCTCCTGGCTCTACAACCACAGAGAAGAGCAGACAGTGGATAAAAAATGAGCCAGGCTCTGCTGGAGTCCCAGCACAGCCAGCACAAACAGGAGGCTGGAGGGAGTCTGGCTGGTCGGGATTCAGGCTGGGGCAGGACGGCT